TTTCCCTGAAACACTTTCTGGTATCTTCTTGGCTTCTAGTGTCTATCCTGGTCTAATTTGTAGCTCAGAATCTATTTAAATCCTCCTAGGTCTTGAAACTCATGAGAGGTTTTCTGGGAGGACTGTTCATCTGAGTAGAATTTGTGTACACAGGATCATCAGACTTTGAAGAAAAATAACCTGAGCAAGTAAACAAACACAGGGTCAGATGACTTAAAAAGGGCAGGGGAAAAAATATAGAGTAGCCCAGATAACTTAAAAAAACCTCAACAAAACCCAACCCAAAATTGTGGGCAGAAGATAATAGGAAAACATAAAGCTGGAAGAAATCCTGCTTTAAAAACCACACAGACATAATTTGAGAAAAGAAAGGGAGAAAGAGATGGCCAAAACAAGAAAACAAGCAAGGAAAATGGAAAAGAGAAGTAGAACATGGGGGAGAGAAAATCGGGAAGGGATGGAGAGAGGGGAAAAAACTTTATGTGACCTGAAAATCTATACCCTGTTTTTCTGTTTGCAGTATTTTTCTGGTGAATGCTGCCAGGTTTGTTAATGTTGCAGAGGAGAGAAGGAGGTTAGGCAGATGAAGGAAAAGGGGAACTATTGCACAAGCACTTGTCCTGTACTCTCCATTATCCACCAGAAAATGCTAATGGTGTATTTAAAGGAGGTATATGATAGTCTGTAACTTAGTTTTAGGTCAGCAAACCTTAATGTTTTTTAAATGTATGTTAATGACAACAGTTTTCCTCACTACTCTCCTTGTTTTGTGTTTGTTGTCCATAAGTGCTTTTCCTCTACAGAAGCTACAGTATATATTTTTACTCACTGTTTACTTAATGTTGCCTTTGTTTCTAAAGAAGGTAGTCACAGCTGACACTGACAGACTAAAAACCTAGCAGTACCAAAGGAATTCTGTTTTCCTTCAGTTTTAGAAAGGAAAAAAACCTCATAAAATCATGTTGCCCTGGAGTAATGTTTGTCTTGCTTGGGTAAATTCTCAGTGTTAAAGCTTGTTTTCTTGATACTGTGGTAATGTATTTTGAAGATGCTCAGCTAAATCTGTTGCTGTTCTTAGTGTCACGCTATGTTTTGCTGTTTAATTGTAACTCTTCTCCAAGGCACAGATTGGCAAGAACTGAGCTTGCTTTAATTTAATTGGGTTCTTGCTAAAATTGTTACATGAAACTGGCTTGACCCTCTCCCAGAAGCCTGGGAAATTCAATTACGCTCTTTGAATGCTCAAGAATGAGCAATGCTGCTCCGCTTGTGAGCACAGAGTTAAACAATGGTTTTAAACAGAACTTCTTGGAGGGGAGAAGAAAAGCAAAACCAACACATCTATTTGGAAAACCTGAACAATTCAAAGTACACAAGACTACTGCTGCCAAGACTGTGTTGGCAACAGTCCTGGCCAAATCTTCTTCTAGCTGTGAGTAACTGGTAGCCTCTCATTGCTCAAACACCAGTTGGTGTTTGAAGCTAGAAGAGTCCAGCTGAGGTACATACTGCCCCACAGAGAGCGTTTAGTTTCTAGGCTCCTAAAACTTATCCCAGCTTAAGCAGTCACTGTACTGCTGTTGAACAGCTTTAGGCTGTCGATCTTTCCTAATTCCTCCCTCTTCCTTACTGGGTTCAACACTAGCCCTTCTGTTCCACTTGGCTGCCTCTCAGCACAGCCCACATGGTATTTTCATTCTTTTAGAAAGGGGTCAATCACCAGAATCCATACAAAGATGTTACAACAGAAGGGAAACTTCCTGAATAGAGGTGTTTGGGTTTTTTTTAAATTTTTATTTTCTTCTCAAAAGGCTCTCAGAGCCTTTTTTGCCTAGGGCTTCTTAGTGACAGTGTTGCAATCTGTGGCAGTGAGTTGGGGTAGTATTTTTCAAACCGTGGGTCAGGAAGGACTAGGAGGTAGTTAAGAGTTGCTCACAGTAGCCAGCAGACAGTTTTAATTGTTGACAACAGTTCATTTTCTGCAGGGCAAGAAGTGAGCTGCTAATTACGCCAGATTTTCACTCCTCTCTCCTGGAGGAGCTGAGTAGGCACCAGCAATTAAAGGTTGTTACCTGTTCTCTGGGTGGTATCATGCTTTTGTGGAGAGAATAAAGGGGGGAAAAAACTTACTTTCTTTTTATTTATTCAAATAAAGATCCCTAAGGGAGGGTGACCTTTCAAAAAGTTTGAGAAATGCTCAGTGTGATCTCTCATCCTGGACACAGATCAGGAAAAATTTGGATATTGAGACCATATTTTCTGCAACTTTAAACAGTACTGTTATTACCGCGAATGCCCCAGGATGTTCTAAACTGCTGCAAATTGGGTCTGGACTGTTCCAGTCATCTCCCATTACTTTCCAGTAAATACTAATAGTGTCACTGTAGCAGTGAATGGAAATTCCTGGAGCTTCTTGAAGGAGTGTTTCTGGGTAGCACACCCAGAAACACACATCCATAAAGCACATCCATGGTTTCCACCTTGCTTCCTGCAGTGCTGGCATGTGAAAAGCAGACGGGTGATGCCACAGGCATTTTCAGATTTTGAATACTCCTCAGTTGCTGTAAGATCCTTTAGGTGGTGTTGCCAGCTAGCATGTTAGAGTCAGCCTGAAAGCAACTCTAATCTAGCACGGCAGAACAGAAAGCACTGGTGAGCTTTTACCTTTCCCTTTTCCCCTGTCCTTGGTGGTCCTGGACAGTGGAGTGAAAAGGGGAGCTGCTGAGATATTCCCCAGAGCTTGTCCTGCTCTCCCAGGGTCAGTCTGTTGAAGGTGATTTACCAGCTGAACTGACTGCATGTGGTCAAAGCAGTTCTGTAGCACAACTACTTTGACAGTAGTTCTGCTGCAAGTGCCAGCTTATACTAATGCAACTCTTCTCTTCCTTCCACTCTCTAAACTAGACTGACAGAAGTTTTGCCAGGAGACTTTCTATCTGCAGTGGGAATCGTGCGCATGCTAGGCGCTTTGGCGGCCTCGACTGCTTCACTTTCATAGTCAGGCAGGTAACTAGTGGTGGAGCAGCCAGAACTCTGCAGTCTTTCTCCTGCAGTGCATTGGTAGCTTGGCAGGCCAGGGACAGCAGCTGTTTTGAGTGCTCCCTCTTCAGATAAGAGCCAATGATGAGATTTTATAGGAAATGACAGGAAAAAGCAAGGGTGGGCTGAGTAATCACACAGCTCATGCTAGTTCTTCCACTTAAAAATTTCAGGCCTGGCTAAAGACCAGTATTTGCAATTAATAATCAAACATGCATTTTCATTATCGTGACTGCCTGCAATAGGCTGAATAACCCTGACTTAAATATTTACTTGTGTATGTTTTTCTAAATGTCTCCCAAAGTAGCTTTGCAAACTGTTCACAAGGATTGCTTTGTGCTTTGCTGATTGTTCTGCCTCTGAGTATTTATCAAAATTGTGCTGCCAAAAGCTGGCAGAGAGAAACGATCCAGCTTGGAATTTAGCTTGGATCCTACAGCAAACATTCTTGCAAGAAAACTCCTTTCTTGCAAAAGGAGTTTTAAATGAACATGAGTGGGCAAGGACTTGCTTCTTGTTTTCCTGCAAAAGATCCTTTGTTTAGACCATTCCCTTTAGTTGCCTTTTAAAGCTGACTAGAAGAAAAGAATGCTTTGAACAGAGCCCTTGCCTGAACTCCATTTATATGCTTAACTGTTGTGATCACGGGGACAGAATTTTTTTTCTTGTCAAACCAATTAAATTAAGTGCACATATTTTTTGTAA